ATCAACAACCATACATACCATGAATGCAAGTAAGATATGGAGGTTCTGCACAATTAAATTTGTCAAGAGTGTTTGGACATTAGAAAATTCTATATCGCGGATTCACTTAAAACACATACTGAGAATATGTTTTCTTTATTAGTGTTTCTGTTAAACTATTGTTACAAGAGAGTTTCTCTGCTAAAATTCTGAACCCATTTTTGGGTGAATATAATTATCTATATATAACTTTATTAAGTAAATAGGTCAACTAATAAAATGGGTTTGGCCAATTAACCAATATTTTTAATTTATACCCATTTTGATTATGGGTTTAATGTTATTTTGGGCCTAGATTCAGACTGGACCCTTGTAAACTTGATTCAATTTTGTCAGGATGCTGCAAAGTTGATCTTGTCGCTATATCGATCTCATAGGGGTGAAATCTGCCCCTATTGTTAGCCTCCAACTTGGCAGTATCGAGTTATAATGATGCCGAGGTAAAAGTTGCTGAAATCTGAGATCGATATGTTGGACTGCGAAGTTGCCAGGCGTGGACGTCTTGTCACCAAACTCGGGAATTTTCTGCTATTCCACGAGGTATCGATTGGTTCTTTCAAACCAACCACTATTCAATGAGGTTTATAAATCATATGTGTTATTCAATTAGCAGTAAGCTGTGACTCGACGACTCGGTAACAAGGCTGGCTTTGTGGAGCAAAACTGACTCGGATCATTGCTCTTTGGTGCAGCGGAGAGGTGAATTGAAAAGAATGGTTTCTGATTCCATGGACTCACAGCTTGACCGTCCACGCGATAAGGATAGCATGGAGACTACTTCAGACTTAGATGATTCTTGAGAGATCGTCGAAGAACTTTTCCTTCTTGGAAGGATAATGGTTTTTATTCCGGAGTCTGACACCGGTAGTTCGACGAGACCAGCTTCCTCCAATGATCTAGTTACGGTCGAGGAGGTTAGAGATGAGATTACGGTTTTACCGGCTGCCAAGAGGCGGATGGTAAAGCGGAGAGAACCTGATCCGCTAGGATCTACCATGTTAACTCCGGAGTCATTGGATTCCCTTACTGCTCGATTTGATGTTCCTCTTGTTTATTGTTTTTTGAAGTTTTAAGCCTCATTGCGAAGTTACCGAGAGACTTGTTTGTTCTTCGCGATGACCTTGTTGCTCAGAAGTATAGGTGGAAGGAGGAATTTTCTCTACGCGGAGTCAGAAAAGCTCTTTTTCGTCGCTTCGGTGTTATTTCGTTGAATTCTTCACCAGAGATGTCAGACAATGGGAGGAAACTGTCTGCTCGTGATAGGAGAGCTATCGAGGCTAGGACAAGGTCTAACGTGAGAGTGTCTCAGCAAGCTAGACCGTTCACGTTAGTCCCCAGAGCTGGCTCTACTGGAACCCTTGCAACTAGGCCGCATCGTCTTGAGTTAGCAAAATGCTGTCATCATCACCGATCGTCGATCTGAATCATCGCATAGGCGTCATATTGACATGAAGAGAAGAGATGACGCCGTGAAGACAAGTCGCAAGCGTTCCCGAGAAGACAAGAAGCAAATCATTGTTGATGGAGAAAACTGAACAAATCAAGGCGTGATGCGACTCCTCGACGTGGTCACGTGGTGACAGACCCAACTTTTCCCTCTGGTTCGAAGGAGTTCTTTGGTGATGCTGCGTTGGCGGCGTCGTATTTTTCCAAGATCGTCTTCCCAGGCACTGAGTTTCCCCGTCCATGGCAAAGGTCGAAGTAGAATTCTTACTCAAGCATGGCACTTCATTGCATGACGGTATAACTTCGTGACAATTTCTGTATGACAATTATTTTCTTTTTCCTTCTTTTTGATCTTCTAATTTTTTTTCCGTGATTTGTTTTTGACAGTTCCTTTTCTCGCTTAACAAACTCGCCATCGATTACGAGGTGACTGTCCACTCGCAGACTCGCTAGTTTTCTAATGCCTAGACGGCTTGTGATGATTTTAAGAAGCAGAAAATGATGCAGAGGATCGCGTTGCTATTATCCAAGCTGCAGTGAAGGGAACCGAGGATAGGCATCGCGAGATGGATGAGACGTTCATAGAGTCACTATTTGAGAGGAATCGTTTTCAGAAGGATGTTTCTGACCTTACCATTTGTTTAGATGATGCTGCCAAGCTTCAAGATACTGCTGTGTAACCGGCTATTGACAAAACGAAGTACAAACTGGCGACGAAATATGAGGCA